ATAAATAAAATATATTTAAAAAAAAAAAAACAGGCCTACTCCATTCTTAACTAAAACTTTATGGGTGATGCTATAGGGCAAATAAGGTATGCTTTGTTTCCCTGTTAAAAGTGGATTTTTTGGATATCCCATTTTACCTAGCACAGGATTAGGTCCATTAATCCTGGATGACTGGATAATGATCTACTCATTAATTCAGTCTCCAATAATGTTCGTCCTATTCAAAACTGAAGGGAGCTGGACTAGCATGCAGTATTATTTAGAAAGCACAATAGATGATACAAATTGATAATATTTTGATAAAATATCCAAAATACTTGAGAAAAAATCTTTAAATACAAATAATCAGTGTTCTAATTATAAACTCATGTGTGACTTATTATGAAAACATGTGCTTTGTATGTCTAGATTTCCCAGGACAGTTCTGACTGTGAATATTCTGTTCCACTGTCTGATCACGTACCAAAGCCCATGTTCTCATTTTTGGTTCAGGACATGTGATTACTATCTCTACACAGAGTTCTAGTAGGAGGCCTTTTGTTAACTACTTAACTTCTTTCACTTTTAAGTCTATCATTCAGACCTTTTATGGTTTCAGCTGGATCTTTCCTCCACTGATCAGAACAGTGGGGTTCTAACTATAGTGATAATAATAATCATTATAATTGAAATAGTAGCCAACTTTATTGACACTGAGAGACACTCTGCGGTAACTCTGCTAGGCAGGTATCATATGTAGCCCCAGTTTACAGAGGAAGAAACTAAGTAAGGTACAAAGAACTAAAGTAACTTGCCCAAGGGGAGAGACCTTGTGTGTGTTGTTCCTGAAAAAAGTTATGGCATGTTTGTCAAACAGTCTTGAAGAAGTGGGGTCATGAGTCTGGGAGGTTTCCTTGGTGCTTTCTTTTCTTTCTTTTTTTTTTTTAAAGATTTTATTTATTTATTTGACAGAGAGAGACACAGCGAGAGAGGGAACACAAGCAGGCTTCCCGTGGAGCAGGGAGCCCGATGTGGGACTCAATCCCAGGACTCTGGGATCATGACCTGAGCCGAAGGCAGACGCTTAATGACTGAGCCACCCAGGCGCCCTGGTGCTTTTCTTTTATTAATAACTCTTACAAGCTTTGTGTTTCTACTTTAATAATGATCATGTGATATCTTTTTAATACATCTTTTAAAATGCTTGCTTGACCCAACTCTTAAACAAATGTTTATGCAACAAGGATGATCTAGTCTTACAATCACAATTAGCTTTTTAAATAGTATTGGAAATCCTATTTCCAAAATCCAACCATTTTATGTTAACACCAACCTTGGAAATATTGGAACTAATCGATGCTTGATATCACTGCTATCTTTCTTATCTACTCCTCCATCTGGTTTGCCAGGAGCATACAGCATAAAATGAAGGGGCAAGTAGGCTAAGTTCACACTTTGAGAATGAGTCAGCCAAACTCTATCTTTAGCAGAGATGAATAAAATGCAATTATGGAACTGCTTTTGACAACATGGAATCTGGTTGCATGGCTAGACTTCTAAATTCTAGAACAAACCTTCACTGCATTAAATCTTTCAAGGGCCTCTTATTAAGCAGCCCTGTCCCCAAACTGTCAAAATACTAATCCTCCTCCAACTAGGAAATATATGGAAAGCAATGCATTTGATAATCACAGAGATGATGAGGGACACGTAAAATTTCAATATGGTAGACTGGATCTATTTGAAGAAAGAACAGAGATTTAGAACTTAATCTTTGCTCCTACTCAAGTCTGATGACACATTTCCTACAGTACTTGTCTCTATTGTAATTAGTATACAAACAGATGGGTGGTTATTGAGAGGGGAGAAGAAAATATCTGGCAAGAAAATAAAAAACTCTTGAGGAAGATTAAGAGAGCAATTCAAATCAATGAACATTTATTAAGTGCCAGTTATGTGGAAAGAGTTTCACTGGGCTTGACAATTCAGAAGAAGAGAATTAACATTTGTTCAGTGCCCTCCTATGTGGCTGGCCCTGTACAAAACACTTTCCGTACTTGAACTCATTTTATTCTTGCCACTATTCCAACAGGTAGCTGTTTAGCCCCCTTTGATGAAAGCACCAAAGGCTCTCAAAAACTAAGTAAATGCGTCAAGCTCCGTAAAGGAAGAAATAGGATTCTAGTTCATATCTGCCTGGTTCCAAAGCCTACATTCATTCATTTTCACACACACATTGCCTTATTTTTACTCAACAATTCTATGAGGTAGAATAATTCTTTTTTTTTCTTTTTGTGGTAATCAGAAAAAAACATGATGGTGTGCAAGGACATCATGCGACCAGTGATAGAGCAAGGAATTATGTCCATTTGCCTTTTACTGGGCCCTTACTATGTGCTAGACCGATTACATATTTTCTCATGACTCTGAGTAGAAGTGTAATTGCCCACATAGGGCAGAAAAAGAAAGCAGCCCTTTGGTTCCATGATAAATAATCCAGGACAGTTTCACTCCCCCCAGCTGTTGACAGGCATAATTACAGAATGATACGTGAAGTTACAAATACTACAAATACTAGAGCTACAAGAAGGAAATGTAATGCCTTCTAAGGAAGAACCAGGAAATGTGGGTCTGGAAAGTGGGGCTTGTCCTTGAACTGACTCTCTGTACTTTGCAAATGCCTTTAGACAATAGATGGTAAATCAGCTTGCAGCAGTAACTTGGACAAAATAATCGAAAGAAGTACATCTTCATCCTTAGGGCCTACACGCAAACAGTAGGTGTGTTCTGATTTCAATCTGTGAGCCCCGAGGGCTTTCCATGACAATTTGTGCAGAGTACAAATGACCAGATGTGTCTACCAGACTGTGATGCCCATCAGTGAAAAGATGCAAATCTGATCTTTTGAATACTTGACTCCATGGGAATTTTCCAAAGTAATCGATAACACAGCTGGATCAATGTGTATGTCCAGTTATACTAACAGAGAAAAGGTAACCGTTTCAAAATGCCTTTAGCAACCCAGTCTGCAGATTGTTATTGGTGTGACTATTGCTGAAACAGGTGTTGGGTTCATAAATTTGCATAACAAAATGTTTTCCTTGTGGCAGCAACCCATACAATAATTGGTGCCATCTGTATTTATCTATTGAAGTTTGGTTTCTGATATGAATGCAAAGAATCTTGTGATGTCTAATCTCATAGCACCCAATTTATTGAGGGTGGTGGACATTGGAGAGGCGTTCATCATTCCCAGGGAAAATACAGATTGAAGGAAAATGTTGAAGTGATAACGTATGTTGCTATTTCTTCACTGATCATTTTCATTTCTGACTATGTGAAACAGAATCAAGGCCACACACCTATAGAACTGCTTCTTCAGAGCAGTACGTGGGGAAGATCCAGCCAGAATGGAAAACCAAGGGGCTCTGTCAACCTATTTACAATTCCCAAAGAGAGAGAGAGAGAGAGATAGAACAGGGCAGGGCAGAGAGAGGGGAAGAGAGAGAAATTTCAGCAAACTCCATGCTAAGCATGGAGCCCAACATGGGGCTCGATCTCACAACCCTGAAATCACGACCTGAGCTGAAACCACGATTTGGACACTTAACTGACAGAGCCACCAAGGCACCCCTGAAAGGCTCTGCTTTCACTAAAACCTCTCATTGCTAGAACTTTTCTGTTTTCTTACCTCTTAACCAGTGAGTAGAAATCTGAGTTTGGAGCAAACTTCATTATCAGCTGAGAAGCAGAAGCGATCTGAGTTGTAGTTTTATCTTGGACTTGTTTCTAATGAGGGGAAGGAAAAATACAAAATTGTATGAAAGCTTAGTTTTTTAAAATCTGAAAGACAATAATGCAACATTGTAATAAAGAATATCTTAGAACCATGAAGACAGTCCTTTTCAGTGAATATCATAAAATCTATTTGATTGTCTCTAGCAATTCAAGCAAATTGCAGATCTTTAAAGTAAATGTTTCAGGTGAACTCTGTATGTATTCTTTCAATATTTTATATTTTTTATACCTACAGGTCCATGAAGACCTTTATCAGCTAAAGGAGAAATTAACAAATTTCTCACTTGAGGAAAAAGGAGAGGCTCTAAACATTCAGAATCTTGAAACTGCAATCAAAAGGACGGAAATGGGGTTAAAAGTAAGTAGAGCTTTAGATATTAAATAAAGTGCTGGAAGGAGACAAAGATTCCTCTAGAAGGAAAGGACTGTGGTTCTCCCTGGACCCTGTCTAATTCTGTAACAAAGATGGACTTAGGTTGGTCAGCAGCTTTCTCATTCTGTTCCTTTTATTAAAATTATGATTATTAACTGATTGGTTGGCATCCTGTCACATTCCACAAAGAATTTAAGGTGTTGGGAATGTAAGATTATGCAGTGACAACCCCTAATGTGTGGTTTGATAAAAAGAATTAAGAATTTTTTAAATAACCATTAGTCCAACAATATGCCTGACAAAAAAAGGATTCAAAGCAATACACTGCAGAGAGTTTCTATCAGATTCACTGGGGTGCTGAAGAATAAGAGTTTATTTTTCCCTAAATAGCTTAAGTATTTTTAGATTAGTCACTTTTGTGATATTGTGATCCAGTAGGTAGAGCTAAAGAGATGTAGCAATTTTGGAAGAGAAAAATAAAGTACACAGGGACTTCATCATTATAGATGGGTTGAAGGGCAAATAATATTTAGACCAGGATAATATTTATTTATAAAACAAGGATCTAGGGGTGCCTGGGTGGCTCAGTTGGTTAAGTGTCTGACTCTTGATTTCAGCTCAGGTCCTGATCTCAGGGTCGTGGGATCAAGCCCCATGTCAGGCTCTGTGCTCAGCGGGGAGTCTGCTTGAGATTCTCTCTCTCCCTCTCTCTCTACCCCTCCCCACTGCTCTCTCTTTCTCTCTCAAATACAAGGATCTATTAGCACATGGGTCCAAATAAGGACCATCTCCATCTTCGAGACCTTGAACTGTCACCGCCCCTGCTCTGGCCTCAGACTTTCACTCTCCCACGTTGTCAGCCTCACAGCCCAGCTCCTCAGGCTGTGAGAGATGTGGCGTGTTTTGTTGCCTCGTCAAACTGGCACAGCATTGTCCTAGATTACCTGACAGTGAGAGGGCTGCACCCAGCTGGAGTCTTTGGGTTGGCCATTTTAAATAATCCGTTACTTAAGGGCCACATTCTTGCCCCGGATGCTTGAAATCCCTATAAAGGAAAGACATTACTCCATATCCGTCCTGCCTAGTAGGCTTACCTGGCTAAGCGATTTACTGACTATTGTGCATAGTTTAATTTGTGAAGAGTGCTACAGGTCATTTAAGCTCTGAGTCTCAATTGTTTATTATGCTTTTTGGGATAAAGTCATTTAGCCTCGAGATGCCCAATGATACTTTAGGCATGCAATAAACGCATAGCATGTTGTGTCTTTTGGCTTAATTACACAATTCAAAGCGTTATCCTAATGAAATAAAGTAAATTAGCTGAGTATCTTAAGTCCACTATAATGGCTAAAGCCTAAACTTTAGCTTTTCTGTAACAGATTCACATCGAGAAGTATTTAAATGTTGTAAACCATCATGTGTTAACGACTCCTATTGATGACGATAATTTATATTCTCCTCACGCTTCCAAGTGGTAAGTAAAAGAGCCATTTTGGGGTCCAAAATAAGTACAATAAAAAATAATAACTTTTCCCACTCAGGTCAGATGACCATAAAGATAAAGTATTCTTGGCTTTGTTCATATCCATGTTTTGTATAAGAAGTTAGTGGCAGCATTTGAACTTTAATGAAGTTTATTCCAGGTTACTCTTCTTGCCTTCTAATACTTGACACCATGACAATTACTTCAGGGTCCTAGTTTTGGTGTTACTATTTTTTTTAGTAAAAGGTATCCAAAATTCAACTCCTAAAGGAAATATTTTAAGTTATGATAGCTGAAAAGAACAAACTATGTAGCAATTACAGCCACAGAGAACCAAGCAGAAAGGTTCAGGCAAAGACCTTTCTTCTACAGTTCTTCTCCCTTGCCAAGGAGTGTCCTTGCCCCTTATTAGGCTCTGGAAGAGTGAAGGAAGACTTCACTATTCATTGGGGCATGGAGCTGGCTACCAGAAGTAGTTCTGGGATCCTTTCTCTCCTATTCAAGACAATATTATGATCACTGGCCTCCCGGCAGGAAGGTAGGAACCTGGCAAATTTGTAGAGCCTTGCAAGCCTGGGGGAGCATCTCCATCATGGCTGTGAATGTATGCTGCTAAAGTAGCACATGCAACTTGAAAATGAAATGATAGGAGCCAGGTCGAAAACTGGAGAAAAGTCCAAACCGGTCCTGCCTAGTAAGCTTACCTGGCTAAGCGACTTTAAAGTAAGCAGGCAGGTCCTGGGAGTCACAGGGAGTGGCTCAGGGAGGAAGCTAAGCAGCAGCAGGAGATGGAAATGGAAAACAGGAGAGCCAGGAGATCAGGGACTGTTGTCTGTGACCAGTGTGTTCCCGGGTTGATAGTCACACCGGACTCTGCACTTGCAGGGGTTCCCAAGAGACTATCATGAATAGACTTGGCCTCAGAGTCTACGTTCTGTTGGGAGTTTTCTATGCAAAGCTGTTTGCAGAACCCAGAATTCCTGCAGGTTCTTATGCGTGGGGGCAGTGTGACTGGCCAATTCATTGCATTTTTCTTCTGAGGTTCCATGACAAAAGTCCTTCTAATACCCAAGTAAGAAGGTGGTTTTCATTATTGATGGCAGGACTCACTAGGGGACAGGTTGCTTATCTCAACACTGCTCGGGAGGCCAGAGGAGGAGACTTAGCTTATCAAAGTCTTGAGTTGGAATAAGCTGGACCTGGCCTTTTATCCCACATGGCTGTTAGTTTAAAAATTGGGGCATGCATCCATAACGTATTTATTTATACATTGTATACTTATCCTAGGGAGTGAATACATTATAAAATACACGGACAAAAAAAAAACCACTTAAATAATGAGACAAAGAAAATTAAACAGTTTAAAATATTTTACTTTATTAACAGCACAAAACTTTCTTTTGCTAAAAAACATTATTAATTATAATGTTCTGGTTGCTTTATCTTGTTAACCATGATGGCTTTATACTGGCTGTAGCTAATAACCTGAAACACACTCTACGCTTCGTGGAGATTCAGCATGGATGCTGGTTGAATGGGAATCCACAGTTCAGTTAGTCTTCTGGATAATTTTTAAGTTGGTGGTACGGGGTGGAGATTTGGTGGACTCTTCATGAGTTTGATTGGTTTATCATCATTTTTGCTCTCTAGCATGGCTGAAGAAAAGCTCATGCTATGAGTAAGTGTCCATCCTGGCATTTTATTTTTCACTGATGCCCAGTTTCACTGGCTTCAAAATACAGTCTGTTTCTTTGCAGAATCTTTTTAAGACAGCTGTCCATTTTCTCAGGCTTGAGTGAAAATGAATGAATAGAATCCATAAACTCACTCTGTGAGTAAACTCCAGAACATTCTAATGCTGTCAAAAAACATCACACAGACCTCACTGTTCGTGCCCTTGTGGTTTGGAGTCTCCACGCCTCCAGAACCGCAGCAGACATGACCACAGGAGGGATCCAGGGACAAGCTGAATATTAAATAGTAGCAAAAAGTAACTTCCTATTTTTATTTCTTCTTTTACATATTTCTTATTTGGTGTAAATAGAAGTTCTTATACTCTCCTCACACAACCAATGGCATTCTCTTATGGATCGCCTGAGATGTGGGCGTCCTGTTTGAGAGACCACAGGTCTAGAACGACGGTTCTTAAACTTTGGTTTGCAATCCTCCTTCGCCAGCCCCCAGATGGTCCTGGATTTGGCATTTTAACGAAGAGTCTTGGTTATTCCTAATGCAGATAATTTGTGCTTAGACTCCCCGGGACAAGCATAACTCCCTGGAATCGGTATTCTTTTGGCCACACAGAGGGTCTGCCTCTGTATGATCAAGAGCCTGGTCCTGGAAATTCAGCTCCCCCATTGCTATGAAGGGTTGGAGTAAGCCTCTCGCACTAGGAATGAGCCACAAGTGGGACCTGGCAGTCAGGCCACTGCCACTGTCTGCTTATACCGTGAGTGTGCTGGAGTGTCAGAGGCCAGGAGTCCAGAGAAGCAGCTCTTTCTGAGAGGGGTGCTATATAATAAGGACCGTGGATCCCCGTTGCTCCCTTGACAGCAAGCACAGTTGCTACAGGTGACTGAGAATCAACATTGTTCAGAGATATGGGGCTTCATTCCATCTATGGCAATCCAGGAAATCAGGAGAGTTCATTCCAAATGAATTCCAATACTGTCCCTGGATATACCTTAAAAAATGATTTAGAACAGGCCAGATACAATCATCATCTTTTCATCATTATTGTGAATTTCATCATTGTCACCAACAGCTTCATAACACTTGAAAGTTTGCAAAGGACTTTATTTTACCCTATGAGGCAGATATTTAACCTTTCCTTTTAAAGATGTGCATACTGAGGGTCACAGCAGGTCCGGGTCGCACTAGTCGTTGGTGGTGAGGCCCAGACTCAAGTCCGGTCACCTGTGCGTGATCGAGCGCTCTCCCGCACCATGGCCGCCTGAAAACCAAGAAGCTTAATTTTCACAAAAGATGGTTTTCTTTTCAGCAAGAAGGGAAAATCTGGTCCTTTTGTCCAGTAGAAACAAAAACCAGGAGGGACACAAAGTGATAACAATTGTTGCCAGCAAATGCAAGATTTTCCCCGCCGTCATGCAGAAAACAACGAGGACATTATCAAGAGTGGTCTATTTTCTCCGAAGAGCTCAAAGAGCTTTTGTATTGTTTTCAAAATATGTTCCATTGCTATCCCACTTTGGCAGTGATTCTTCTATGTCAAAATGTCGTTCTTCCTCTCACATGATTGGCTTTCACGGATTTTATTGCTCATAATATGTGCTCACACTGCTCTTAACGACCGTGCTTTGTTATTGACACTGGGAGGGTGACTACCATCTGTACCCACACGATCAGAACTGCACGGAAATCTTCATTTTATATTCTGTTGTGCCAGTGTTTGAGAAGGGGGAGCAAGAACAAAGGAAATAGATAACTGAGCATCAGTGAGAGGGAAAGAAGAAGTATTGCATGGTGAGCGTCCATCAGAAGGTACATTTTCCTCAGTTGATGAAGCATCCTGGAGCCCAACCATTGCGGGCTGTTACACGGCGGTCCATGAATCCCACTTGTGTAGACTGTGACTACATCCTAGTCACAGGGAGAGGTGAAGCACAGGGAACAAGTTGGTAATGCCTGGTGGTCTGTGTGAAGGGTTTGTGGAGGCTAAGCGTTCTTTCCATTTCTCTGTGGGTTTGAAATTTTTTTAAACGATAAATTTTTTAAGAAAGCAGCATAAAATGAAAAACAAACTGGGAAAACATCTGCAACAGATAGGACACAAAAATTGCTAATAGTCTTTTAAAAAAGAGCTCCTGCCAATACAAAAAACAAAAAACAACTTGACATAGAAGGACATCAACAGACTACTCAGAGATAGAAATGCAGATAAGCAGTAAATATGTGAAAAATGTTTAATCTCACGGGGAAGCCAGAGAATGCAGAGTAAACAATATATTATTATATTTTCTTTACAAATTAGCACAACAGATCATTTAAACCATCCTCATACTCAGGGCTGATGAGGTGGCAGTAGGATGGGAATACTTTGATTCTACCACTGAAGGAATAAGTTGGCCCAAAGTCCTTAAAGGCAATTTTCAACAGGTGTGAGAAGCTTTTTACAATTGTCCTTTTTTAATTTAGCTGTTGTACTTCTAGGAACTTCTAGGAAATAAGAGAGACACATGGATCTCTGTATAAGTTTGTTCACTTCAGTGTTCTATTTTATAGCAATAAATGTGGAAATACCTTCAGTGTTAACAATTAAAGCATGATTCAGTCTATAGCACATCTATGTGTGCATTGCATAGCTATTAAAACTGATACTGTCCGAGGGGCACCTGGGTGGTTCAGTCGGTTCAGTGTCTGCCTTTGGTTCGGGTCATGATCCCAGGGTCCTGGGATCGAGCCCTACCTCAGGCTTCCTGCTCAGTGGGGAGTCTGCTTTTCCCTCTCCCTCTGCTCCTCGTCTACCCTCCTCCCCTGCTTGTTTGCTCTGTCTCTCTAATAAATAAATAAATAAAATCTTTTTAAGAAGTTTAAAATTAATACTGTCCAAGAAATTTTAATGACATGGAAAAATCTTCACAGTATATATTGAGGGGGAGAAACCAGGATGCAAAATTGTATCTCAGTTCAAACTTTTTTTTTTTTTTAAGACTTTATTTATTTATTTGCAAGAGAGAGAGAGCACAAGCAGGGGGAGCGGCAGGCAGAGGGAGAAGCAGGCTCCCCACTGAGTGGGAAGCTGGATGCGAGATTCGATCCCAGGACTCCAGGATCATGACCCGAGCTGAAGGCAAACACCCAACTGACTGAGCCACCCAGGCATCCCTCAGTTCAAACTTACTTCTAAATACATAATGTGCAGAAGTGAAAGGAAGATGGTGTAGACATACTTGCCCCTATTCCTTCTGATAAATACAGCTGTAAAGCCTGGATGTTATATACAAAACAAACTTAGGAAGACTTGGAAAGAAGGCAGGCCAGTTAGGGGCCCTGGGACCCAAGGAAGGACATAATGGTGAGGCCCCTGGATTTTCTTTTTGCTTTGTGTATCCTGTTATTGGTCTATATTGTTTTCCTTCTCTCTGTAGAGCTTCTTGTGACATTTCTTACAAGAGAGGTCTCTGGTGACAAATTCCCTTAGTGTTTGTTTATCTGAAGAGGTCTTTATTTCCCCTTTGCCTTTGAAGCATAAGTCTCACTGGACACAGAATTCCAGGTTGGTGGGTTTTTTCTTTCCATACTTCAAATAGTTCACTCTTCTCTCTTCTTGATTGTATGGTTTATGAAGAGACGTCTGATAACAATTTATATCTCTCTTCTATAGGTAAGTTGGGTTTTTTCTTTGCCTTCTTTTAAGATTTCCTGTTTGTTTTTAGTTTTTCATAGTTTGAATAGGATATGCCTATGTATGTTTTTTCAGGATTTATCCCAGCTTGGTATTCTCTGAGCTCCCTGCATCTGTGGTTTAATATCTGTCATTAATTTTGGAAAATTCTCATCATTACTCAAGTATGTCTTCTGTTCCTTTCTTTTTTCTTTTTCTGATATTCTCATTATGTGTATGTTATACCTTTTATAATTGTCCCACAGTTCCCGGACATTCTTTTTTGTTCATTCCTCTTTCTCTCTGCATTTCAGTTTGGGAGTTTCTCTTGCTGTTTCTTCAAGCTCATGGATTCTTTCCTTGGCTGTGTCCGGTTGATTAATAAACCCATCAAAAGCATTCTTCATTTCTTATGGTGTTTTTGATTTCTAGCATTTCCTTTATATTCTTTGAGTTGCAATGTCTCTACTTACATTACATATCTGTTCTTGCATGATGGGGCTACTTTTTTCCACTAGAGTCCTTAGCTTAAATAATCACAGTGATTTTAAATTCCTGGTCTGCTAATTCCAAAACCTCCTGTCGTATCTGATTCCGATGCCTGCTTTGTCTCTTCAGACTTTTTTCTTGCCTTATAGCATTCCTTGTCATTTTTTTTGAAAGCTGGACATGATGTATTGGGTAATAAGAAATGAGGTCAGTAGGCCTTTCGTAGGAGGTCAGTAGGCCTTTATCTGGCTAGGAGTTGGGCTGTGGTTACTGTAGGTGTCTGAGGCTTCAGTTGCCTCCGCTGTCTTTGCCTTTGTGTCCCCTGTGGTCTTTGGGTTTCCCTAGAAACTTCTTCCTAAGTAGGTCTGAGCCTTGCAGCCCTCTCATCCGCCACCCTCTATTGTACTGATGACTGTACGTGTACTGTGCTGGGCGAGCCTTCAATACTCCTTGATCAGCCCCCCATCTTCCCATGGGTCTCTACCCCCAGACTGTTACCTTCACAAGTTTTTCTTGGTTATTCCCCCTCTTAGGTGAGGCAGGAAGCCTGGAGGCGGCTGGAGTTAGCTAATTGCCCTTCCTCAGGTCAGATGATAATTTTCCTTGAGAGCTGGCCTTTAATACAGAGAACAGAACGAAGAACAGAACTCTCTGGGACTAGTTTGAAATGGTTCCTTTTCCCTCCCCACTGCCAGAGGCAGCAAGGGATTTTCTTCAGTCCTCACAGCGAGAACATGGTGGGGCTTCTAGAGGTAAAACTCAGGAAAGTATGCCCCCTCCTACCCCCCCCCGCCCCCCAAGCCTTGGCCCCTCAGAATTTAAACACTCGAGCTAAGGCACACTGAGCCTCTGGCAATTTGTTAAGTGGAGTTTAACTGTTCTTGCCAATACCAGCTCCAGCAGTAGACTTCCTCTCTGAAGCTTTATCCAGGTCTGTCTCTCTGTCTCTGTGTCTCTCCAGTTTTCAGGGCAGTAGTTTTCCTGTGACTTCAATTCTCTGATAGATCTAAGGAGAATTGCTTTTCCATTTGCTCAGCTTTTTCTTATCGCCCTCATCCTCACAATACCTTCCAAGCTCTTTACATGTTGAAACGAAACCAGGAACCCACAAACTGCTTTTTAACGATAATTTCACAGATGTGGGCATCACAGTAGAGTCAAGAGATTGAGTCATTGTGGTTGAGTTTAACTGATCTTAATTATGTTGACCGTTTTAAAGAACGGGGATCTGCTTTCCAATGAAAAGTTTTAAGACATACATTACACACACACAGTTCTTACAATTTTATTTTGTTTTTATGCCGCTCTCCCATGGAGCTGCCCACTGCTTAATAAGGAAGACCTTTAACCGGCCTTTGATCCTTAGTCTTTGCAGCTCTGTAAAATAGAAGTTTAAAGAACATAAGTGCTAACTGCTTAGATACCAGCATTTTGAATTTATTTAACATTGGCTATTCTGTGATTTGGCTTTACAAAATAGAGTATGCTGTATTTTTCTCTGCCAAGAAATGTTTATAGTGTAGTAATTCTGTCAGTTGTGGGTCACATAACCTCAGCCAAAGATAAAGCTTTTTATTCATGCTATAGTGGTCATTATCAGACTCAGAAGTTCTTATGCTTAATGAAACAAGTGCGGATTAATAGTGGTAAAAATGCTAAAGTTGGTTTATTGTAATTACCAATGGAATAGTTTCTGTAAAATCTAACTGAACTAGGAAGCATTGTTCTAAATTACAATTTTTGAAGATAAATTCAATTTTAAATTTTTTCTTTCTTTTTTTAAACTTAGGTTGCTTCCAGCTGTAATTGATCAGAAATCATTTATTTTCCCTCTAGAATCTGAGGGTAGACTTTGGCAAACCCAAAGACAGCACAGTACATTTCCACATGCCTTTCCGAGAATAAAGGTAGGAAGAGAGACATCCATAAAGACAGAAAGGGGATGAGTGGTTGGGGAGGCTGGGGGGAGGGGAGACTGGGGAGGGACCTCTGATGCATATCAGGTGTCTTTTCGGGATGGTGAAATGTTCTGGAATTCGATAGTGGCAATGGTTGCACAATTCTGTGGATCTCCTGAATACCTTTGAACTGTACACTTTAAAAGGGTAAATTTAAGGTATATGAATTATGTCTCAATAAAGCTGTTAGAAAAAAAAACTTTTTTAGAGTAAAGGCAGGAAATTTAGTTTGTGTTCTAAATGAGGGAACATGCCACTGTTGTTTCAGATATGTTCATGGCACGGTCAGTTTCTACCACACAAGAGCTTTCTTCAGAAAGCAAAATATACCAAACCACAGTGCCTTCACATTTTTAAATTAGCAATAATCACACCTCACAGATAAACCAATGACTGCAATGCTACCACATGCACAGCTAGAATTTTTGAACAGAGCCCTACAAGGAAGGTTTCCAGGTGGCAAGGGCTAGAGCTCATGGGTTACTGATTTTGCCTGCTGGGTGCGCTTACAATTGGATTCCTGTTCCCGATTCCCCAAAAGTGGGAACAGCTCACCTCCTGTCAGGGCTTGAGGAACACTAACTTGATTCACCTTCAGAACGATCCTAGAGTGACGTGCTCTTGTTGTCTTCATTTTGCTGATGAAGAAGCCAAGATTCAGAAATGTTAAAGAAATTGCCCGAGAGGACACAGCTAGTAAGTGTCAGAGGCAGGATTATGTACCCAGAAATACAGGGGTAACCACTGTGGTAGCCCTTTTTAGATAATAGCTTTGTTGAGGTATAATTAATATACCATAAAATTCACCCTTTTTAAGTGGACATTCAGTGGCTTTCTGTACATTCACTGATTTATGCAGCCATCACACTGTACCTTTATTATAACGGTGTTATCTGTATTTTTCCTCTATCACACTTGACAAAATCTGTAACTAGATTTTTTTTAAATGTCTGTTTTCCCAGTAGAATATAAATTGAATGAGGGCAGGAGCCGTGTCAGTCTGTTCACTGCTGTATATCCCCAGGGGACTCTCGATAAATGTTTGTTGAATGAAGATACGAGACCACAGGGCCCACCCCCATGTCCAGTCAGTCCTGGCTCCATGACCTTCCCCAAGCAGCCCGCTCCTACCTTCTATACTGCCCTTCCAACACTGAGTCTGTTCGGCCACCATCTGTGGAGTATTTACTATGTGCCAAGCACTGTCAGAGGCACATGGGGACGAATGATGCCAGGTCCCTACTCTCAGAGCTCACGTTCTCTTACGCCATGAGAAAGGGAGCTTAAATGTCTCACCACCCTTCCTATTAAGTCTCTGCATCCGTGAATTTTTTTTTTCCTCCAGAATCTCAGGAGGGTCACTGTTGGCCCACAAGTGGAAGATTAGAGCTCTCTGGTTTGTGGGGACAATGAAACAAAATATCTGAAATTAGGACTATTTAGAATGTATAGCTGCTATTATTATTTCAGAAAAAAATAAAACTATGGCCCAGAAATTTATTTTCCTGAAAGAGTTTTGAATCCTGGCAAACGATCACAACGATAAGAAATCTTCTGTGCTGAATACAACCCCAGAGTTCTTTTAAATACTCTGAGCATGGGTGAGCTCCATTTAAAAGGGGCACGGGCTGTTTCCTACCCTGGCTTTACCTGCAGGGCCTAGATCCCTATTGTTGTTTTATTTCTAATATCAGTGACATCTGCTTAAAAATGCATAACCGCTGACACACACGATAGCCCTAATTTTGCATTGTAAACTCACTGACAGACAGTGCTGTTTTGGCAGCTGTCCCTGCAAGCCTGCTAGGCCAACTTAAGAGCTTGTATTATTAAGTAGCAGTGAAATCCAACTGGGATATCACCACCTTTAATTGCCCACTGCCAACCTGTTCAGCTAGGTAAACCCCAGTTGCTTCTTTCAGCTCTCTTTCTCCAAAGTAGATAACTATTTTTGGGAATTCCATTTCACACCAAAAACTTACACGACAAACCATTAGGAGTTGCTCAATTATAATTAAAAGTCATAATTAAGAATTCTTTGGACAGCTACATGTGCACGAATGAAACTGGACCATTTTCTCACACCATACACAAAAATAAACTCAAAATGGATTAGTGACCTAAATGTGAGACCTGAAACCAGATAACTCCTAGGAGAAACCAGGCAGTAATCTCTTTGACATCAGCCTTAGCAACATTTTCCTAGATATGTCTCCTCAGGCAAGGGAAACAGAAGCAAAAATAAGCTATTTGGATTACACCAGAATAAAAAGCTTTTGCACAGCCAAAGAAACCATCAACAAAACACCAAGGCAACCTACTGAATGGGAAAAGATATTTGCAAATGGTAAGGGGTTAATATCCAAGGTATATAAAGAACTTATACAATTAAATACTAAAAAAATGGGCATTCCATAAAAACATTAAAAAACGGGCAGAGCGCCTGGTTAGACATTTTACCAAAGAAGACATACAGATGACCAACAGACACACACAAAAATGATCAACATCCCTCATCATCAGGGAAATGCAAATCAAAGCCACAATAAGATATCACCTCACATCTATCAGAATGGCTAGAATCACAAAGGGAAGAAACAAGTGTTGGCGGGGATGTGGAAGAAAGAGAGCCCTCATGTAATGTTTTGTGAGAATGTAAATTGGTACAACCACTGTGGTTGTAATTGGTACAACCAAGCTGTATGGAGGTTCCTCAAAAAATTAAAAATAGAAATACCATATGATCTAGTAATTCCACTATTGGGTATTTACTTAAAGAAAATGACAACACTCATTCAAAAAGATACATGCATCCCTATGTTTATTGCAGCATTATTTACAATAGCCAAGATATGGAAGCAGCCCAAGTGTCCATCAATGAATGGATAAAGAATGGATACACACACACACACACACACAGTGGGATATTGCTCATCCCTAAACAAGAATGAGATCTTGCCATTTGTGACAGCATGGATGGGCCTCAAGGGTGTTATGCCAAGTGAAATAAGTCAGACAGAGAAAGGCAGATACTATATGATTTCATTTACATGTAGAATCTAAAAAACCAAACAACTGAACAAATACCAGACTCTTTTTTTTT